ACTCAAGGTAAATCCCTAAGCAACAGCTGCCTGGACCACAAGGCAGCTGATGCATTTACGCATGTGAGGGAGCAGTTTTTATACGCACGTTTCCATAGAATATTATTCAATAAAGCGTTTATGAATTAAAGAGACGTTTAATTTTCCTTGATCGCAACAACGCATTTGCCCTAGTATTTTGTTTATATTATTTTAGCAAGTGCACGAAAGTAGTGCAAGCTCCTAATATGCAGCATAGTTATTCATACACTTCTGAAAAGTATTTTTCATATCGGAAGAATATAGTTTTCAAAGAATATATTTTCGTCTTCATTCTTTTGTGGAACCGAGTCTGATTAAAGATTGTGTCTTTAATTTTTTGAGGAACACCCTCCCCCTAATAAATTCTTGTCCGAATCAACCCCTGGCTAAAATGTTGTCTTATTCATCGGGAAAACTTTGCTATAAAATATATCGGTCTTGTGGAATATACATTTAATCACAAGTATAGTATAAAGAGGAGCTGAAAAAGGGAGAAATCAGAGTTTTTATAGAAGAAGAATCTCCTGCCAAAGATCGGTTTTCCGAGAATGAGCATATGGTCATTCAGTGAAAGATTTTCTACCAGTCTAAAGAACGCGTGCCCATCAGGGGGTTTGTATAGGCAGGTGACGAAGATGAACGCTATGGTCAGACTTAACGCTTTTGCTTTCATCGATATATGATTTTCTCTAACTTTTCATCTATGAATATTATTAAATAATACAGTCGAAACTTTGTGTCTTCAACAGAGGAAAAGAAACCAGTTTGATAATTTCTATTAATGGAAAAATTGTAAAATTGTACAATTTTTTAAATAATGGTTGTAAATACTCAAAGACAATTAGTTTTATATGTGAAGAATTTTTATAAAACCAATTTCCATTATTGAGTCTAAGTCGTTTATAATTAAATCAAATTATTAAATACTGTCATAGTAGTAATAGAATAAGTAGCAGTTGTTGTTCTTGTTATTGTTGTTGTCATCGTAATTAAGTTGTTTTGTATAAATACAATCTTTGTACTAAACCTTTTGTTTGACCCGAAACTAATATTCTTAAGAAATCTGCGCTTAGCAAATGGGATATAGGTCTAGAAAAATGGGTCTAAATAGGCCACTCTATTTTTCAACTGAAACAGTCTCTAATTTCAAACGTCACTCCGACACCTAATTTTTCCACAAAGATATATACCTATAACGACCCAAAATTATAATCCTCTTATTCTTTTCCTAACGAAAAGATTTTTCAGACAAAGAAAGAAAAATTTTAAATTGCAGGAAAATTTGTATATACCTCGAAAATTTATGCTAAGAATAATTTCAAGCAGTTACATTTAATTGAACAGAAAATTAACACACAGAAAATTAAATGTATTAAATTCAATGCGTCTAAAGAATATTATTTATTTAATGCGATAAGAATCGTATCTTTTAGTTTCCATCTATTTCACAATCTAGTAACATGGACCAAGTATCCAAGTCTGATAAAATCTCACATGCATACCACCAAAGAAGCAGTTTCATACAACTAATTACATTACATACTTACTGAAAGAATATTTTGTATTTAGGAACCAATAGACAGTTTATCAACTGATAATCATTGATAAAAATTGGTTTAAAATTATCCGAAATTACAATAGAAAGATTTAATGATTCAGGAAGATCAAACAGTTTTTCTGCAATCTAATCTTTTTCGAAAATGCATTCCACTACAAAATTGTTTTTATATTCAGTCACTGGATACACAGTACTGATTATATGCACTACAATCTTAAAAAGCACTAAATCTTTCAATTTGGAACTGCTAACAATATTGTCAAAAAAAGAATACTTCTATACAACTCGAAATTACAGGTCATTTGCTGAAACATCGTTTAAAAATTTGAACCTTTAGACTATTTTGCCTTGCCGTTTCTAAAGGATCCTTTCCCAATGATGACTAAGACTAATCCATCTTGCTTTATCTTAATGAATCTGTATTATCTTTTTTGTTTGGAAGTGTGAGAAAACAAACCTTTATCTTGATGATGACCATTCTTAAATATTTAATTATACTGGCTAATTATATGGATCCGAAAAACCATCATTTAAGATTTTATTTTCTGATTTAACCGCAAATATTTTCTCATTGTTAGGTACACGAAAAATTTTGGAAATTCCCAAATTCGAATAGTGGAAAATAATTACAAAATAATAATGGAAAAAATTGTCTGATTACTATCATGCTCTTAAATTCCTGTTCTTGCAGTGCACCTATGCATATTTATCGTTGTGCTTGGTATTATACTATCAGGAAGAATTTTATCTCTAGATTTCGTTTAGAATTTGTAGCAAACTTTTATTCTTCCTGAAGGGTGACTCACTCGAGATAAGAAAAAATGTCGCATCATCTTCATGAGTTGGTTGTCAAATTACAAAATAAGAGCATCGTACTCATAACAAATTAATAACAGTATAACCGAGAGTATAACAATTATAAATTATAACAATTAATAATTATTTTGTTAATAAGTGTAAAATTATTATACAATACTTTCTTGTACTCATTGCTTCTTGAAATTTACGTTAGAAAGTAATGGAAAAAAATTGAAAAATATATTATGATCTTTGTTGGATGAAAAAATACTCTTTGTTCTCTGTCGATGGCAATCTGTATCGATCAAAAGTTCATGGCATGCGAGTAGAGGAACTGTATGTTACTCTCTTGTTTAGAGAAACGGGGGGGTGCTCAATGCCCTGAAAGTGGGTCCACATGGGGCCGGTCGCATATGGTCGCATAAAACATCCAGCCGTAATTGCCAGGTGTTTCATAGGTGAGGCCCTCTCAAGGTGGCACAAAAAATAAACTAGCTTCCTTCCGATGGGACTAGCGAGGGGACCACCGCACCGGTGTGAATGTATAGATTTATTCAAAGAGACCCGAATTACACATCCTCAACCTCGAATCATGAACATTCGTTTTTAATTTACAAACTCAGTTACTAAATTTGCACTTTACTTACGCGTATAATTATACAAAACAATTATATTGCTATTTAATTAAATTCAAAATTATTCAGTACTAGTACTTATCAAGTTATTTAAATTTAGTTATTTTGGACTTTTGCCATACGAACACAAACGTTATTAAAATCCCCAAATTTGGAATGAAATTAAAAAAACTATGCACAGACAGTACAATGAACCGAAAGTTTTTGCAACCATTTTCATTCATGTATAATTATATGCAGAGGAATAATTTTTTACTACCTGTGTCCTATAAAAAATTGTATCATAATGAAAGGGAAATTTTTTAAGGGATTTGATATGTATATGCATAGAGCCTGGTGGCGAACTCATAATTTGACAATGCGAACACCTTTTAGACAACTTCTGGCAAAGATCCGGAATGGGGTATATAAAAAACGGAATATTATGAAAATACCGGTCGTCACAAGGAAAAACCAGTATATGTTCAAGCGGGTTTCTAAGTGACCATGAAAGAAGAAATCTACTGGCCAGTTGCCAGTACGTTCTCTTTTGTATTGTTATAAAATATATACATACAGGTAGATGATTTGTCGCCAACCGGTATATATATATTTGAGAAGAAAAAACTTTTTATTATCGTTATTACTATTACTAGCATCGTTATAGCGCACAAACTTCTTTATATTTCATGTTATGCTTTTATTTTATTTTATGAACTACTAATAATCCGTACTATTTAAGTGTGACATGTTAGACTTTGATATTTATCCCAAAACTCTTCAATTTTAGAAAAATTTTAAAATTCGTAAACTTTTGTAAACTGTTAGGGGTTCTTTTTATGAAATTTTCTTGTAATTCAAAAGATTGCTATAGTTAAAAGAAAAGAATTATGGGTATAATTTTCCAAGCAGGGAAAATAGTTTGTTGAGAATTGAAAATAGTTTCCGCTTTCTGTAAGTGCATATATTTTATTGGTAATGTGTATTTACTTTTTCATAGAACATTAGTCTTGTCGTGAGTTGATGACATGCGTTCGGATCATTAGCGATTGAGTGTATGCGTCGAGATCTTTTTCAGAAAATGTTAACTCTTCAAAAGAGTGCTGTCAAGCATCTATATACATGTATGCTCCTGGATTTAGCTAGGCGTACTCGTACTTATTAAATGCACACAAGTATAAGCGCGTGTGAGTTTCAGCACGCGTGGGCGATGCTACGGCACGCGACATGACCGTTACATTCGAAACTAGCAACGCAGGGGGGAGGAACAGTTGCCGTTGGAGGGGATGAAATTCAGAAGGGGAACAAGGCGGATTGCAGCGCGCATACACACACACACACTCTATCTTCAGAAAATAATCCTGTTGAACGTAAATGTGTATAATGCATACTATATGAATGCTTACCTGCGTCGCGATGCACAATTGGACTTGGAAATGGTGGCACTTGCTTTTCATGAAAAATAATCTCCTATTTCATTTGATATTCATTTTTTTCACCTGTTTTTTCAACTTTTTTAGTTTCCTAGAAAAGAATCGTTTATTGTCCTTTATAAGGAGTAAAAAAGACTCAGATGAGAGAGTATTAAATAAAAAAATTTGTGTTAGAAATATGATAAAAAAAAGGAAACCTAGAATTATAAATATATGTAATGGAATTTAAAGTAATGATGATTAGAGTATATTGTACGTAGGGAAGTAGAAGAAGAGGCAGTGTGTGGCGATGCAGGGAGGGAAAGTGCAGCATCTGCTGTGCATGAACAACGCACCGACCAACGCAATGCACAGAAGAACAATCGTAAGCATCACACTCATGGGGTGCTTGCATTACCTGACTGAGGAGACCCACAGAACAGATGCTCGGCAGGCTATTGGTTGACGGCCCGCGACCGCCCGTCCCCCATTGGTTCTAAAAGCGGGGCCTGAAGGGCTGTATTGGTCCGGCAGCACGTGCGAGCCACCTGCACGCTGGTAGTGGGAGACGCTCTTATAAAAGCTCCACTCTTACTCCCATACCAGCCAGATACCGGTCTCTAGCCGTTCGAATCACGTTCAGTTCTCTCCTCGTTCTTTGTGCTATACGTTCAGAAGACTTGACGTTCTTCAGTCGGAGGAAAATATAAACAGTGAACTCTTCGATTTATTAATGAGTGACACGGTGCAGTGACATTCGTTCAAAGGATTATTACGTACATTTGTTATAAACAAAAACTGTGTTTGTGTCCGCTAATCAAGAGCGGAAAAAATTCATCATGCTCGTCGAAGAAATGCCTCGCAGCTTCGTCAAGAAGAATAATAGCTACAGTCACTGCCCGCTCAAAAAGCGTCCAGTGCACGTGCTGATGGCAGAGGAAGTTGCAATTGCAACAAAAGGTAAAGACACTTCTGATAATACTTTTATTACTGTTAATTTATTTTTCATAAAATACTTTTCTAAGTTTCCAACTTTAAAAAATTCTTTTACACATTTTTCTACTCTCAAGTAAAGAATTTTTTTTTATCAATTGTCATTTAACTCTTCTTACTCTTATTAACTGAAATATAAATTTTCCAAAGTATAACTTTTCTTACTAATATTAACTGAAATAAAAATTTTCCAAGGTATAGAAACTTAACACATTTTTCTTTCTACTTACAGAAGAAATTATTGACGTAGTCGTCGATGATATCCCAGAGCCAGAAAATCTCAGCACGAAACCAGAAGATCTTAGCAAGACTGCAGAGAAGCTCCGCTCTCAATTTTCAAGATCACCCTCACCTGTTGCCTATGGAAAGCGGTCAGCTTCGCCAGATGCAGCATCTCGCTCACCATCGCCTTCATCGAGGCCCATCTCTCACATGCATCACCAACAGCATCACCACAATCATCATCATCACTTAACGTACCCCCATTATCCATCAAAGACAATCACGCCACCAATTGGTGTGGCACCAGTTCATCCAGTGGCAAAGAAGGCCCGAGTCGAAGTCATCCAACACGATCATGTTTCACCCGCTGCAGCGGTGGCTGCACCTATGCACTTCATGGCAACGATGACGCCCTTGGAGCCATTGAATCTGAATACGCCAATGGAGCCATTGGCGCATTACGCCACACCAGCCTGGGCACGTTCGGCACCACTTTACCCTCCTCACTATCTGCCCTATCCAGCATATCGCTACCATCATCACCCTGGAGCGGAACTCTATCAATCTTGTCCAGTGCCGGCGTACCCACATTCATCTCCCGAACATTCATCCGTTTCTCCACCACCTCACGCTGCCCTCACGTGCCCCACGATTCAACGACCGATTGCCAGGAGTTACGCGCACTGGGCGAGTCCAGATCACTGCGGATTGTCGCCTACAAGTTCCCTGGGCTCAGGCTCCCTGAGGTCGCCACCCCCCGTCACTCCCGAGGACTTGTCCTCACCCGGAAGTGACAGCGGAAGATCATCAGCCGGCAGCACGTCCGCCGGACCAACCATCGTCAACCAAAAACTCGACAAGGGCCCGTCGAGCAACTCCGGTTCGCCGTCATCGCCCCGCTACTCCTGCCCAGACTGCGGAAAATCGTACTCCACCTACTCCGGCCTGTCAAAACACCAGCAGTTCCACTGCGCCTCGGCCGAAGGTCAAACAAAGAAGTCCTTCTCCTGCAAGTACTGCGAGAAAGTCTACGTCAGCCTGGGTGCACTCAAGATGCACATCCGAACACACACGCTGCCTTGCAAGTGCCACCTTTGCGGAAAGGCCTTCTCCAGACCTTGGCTCCTCCAAGGGCACATCAGAACGCACACCGGCGAGAAGCCCTTCAACTGCCAGCACTGCAAGCGAGCCTTCGCCGACAGAAGCAACCTCAGAGCGCACCTTCAGACCCACAGTGATGTGAAAAAGTACTCGTGTCCGTCTTGTAGCAAGACCTTCAGTCGTATGTCCTTACTCACAAAACACCAGGAAGGAGGTTGTCCAGGGGTAGCCGTACCCATGGGTTTTTCGTGTTGAAAAATTGTGAATCAAAAAAATTCCAGTGTTCAAAGTCTGTAAACGAAGGTGCGCGCGAGTTGCTTCAAACTCGTCACAGGACAAGTGCCTTAGAAGTCTCACACCCATGAGACTGCTCCGAGTACAAAGAAAATTTAGAGACTAATTAATTTAAGTGTACATAGAGAAAATTATATTTTCCACTTTGTCCTTATATAAATTTATTTTGACGCAAACAAGAAAACTTGCAAAGTTACCGCTTGACGTGGTCCCGTGAAACTGCTGTGCCATTCTCGTTTCTTTAAAAACGTTTTAAACGGTTAATCGAAAAAAAAAATTTTATCGGTTCCTTTTTCAACAATTCGCTTTTTATTCTTTCCACGTGTAAATTATATAATGATTTTCATCCTATTGGCGTCATTATCTTCTTTTTTCGAATAATTATTTATATTAGATTTTAAGTTCATCATGTGCACCCAAGCACCAAAGTGCCATTATAAATTAACTATTTAATGTACGACAGGCTTGCATTGTAAATACTGCATCTGAAAATCGCTTTTGTAAGCTTGAAATCTCGTACAAGAGTATTATATATATTCTATTTAAAGTCAAAGTTGCAGAGAATTTTCGTTCCTTATAGAAAAGGTTTCTTTAAAATATGTATTTTTCATTTTGCATTACTTTTAAGTTACTTGAAAAGCTAGTCATTATTTATAGTATATAAAAAAGAGTAGTGGAGAAGAGAAATTCATTTTCGTTTTCTGTCTACATTTCATATAGTCATCGATGAAACTCAGTGAAATAATACTAGTTTCAATTGTTTTGTAAGCGTTTCTCGGCGATTGCTCGCTGCCTATTTAGACTTGTAAAGAAAGTAAACTACTATGCAAAGATATAGAGAGAATATTTTATACAAAATAAATTTGATAAATTTGACATGCTTGTGTTGTATATTTTACCATTATCCCCATATATACCTTTTAGACATTAAGTATTTATTTAATAACTCATATTTTTCTTTTAAATTAAAATTAATAAATTTCAATTTTTAAAAAAATCATCAAGTTATAAATTAAAATTGAATTTAATAATTAAAATTAAAAATTAAAATTACTATGAAAAAAGTTATTATTTTGAATTTAATTTTGAATTCTTGAATTTACGAAAATTAAATGTTGGAAAATTGATAACAAAAGGGTAGTTGATTGCACAAAGCGTCATAAAGGACACAAATTCGTGTGACGAATGACGTGGAATAATCGATAAATAACAGTTTGTTAGCTTTTCCCTCCTTTTAATTAGAAGATCAAGCAACGGTTTCTTTCATGGCGCAGCCATTCTGAAAAAATCTTTACAAAATTTTTTTCTCCCCTCCGTTTAGGCTTCTTTTTTTCGGATCACCTGCACTTTTCCAACCGACATTTTAGAAGTGCGCATAATGTTGATCTTCAAACAAGGAAAAAATTCTTCAGGGGATCCTTTTTACCTGTTCGCAATCCAATCACTTCACATATGAAGGAATAATATAGGGTCATTGGCACAAATGGAAACACGACCAGAGAGAAAGAAAGAAAATTATTCAAACCGTTAAATTAAAAATTTCATTTTAATTCACTAACTGAAAAATAAAACGTAATTTATAATCAAATATATAATCTATAATAAAAATGTTTTCTTTAAGAGACAACATCATTTTTCTCGATCGATGAAAAATTGAAAATTGAAAATTTTCCCTTTTTATATATATATGCATACATGCATAAAGAGTCTGAATGAAAAAAAATTTCTAAACAGCTTGAGTTTGTCAAGACGTTGGCCATTCACAAGAATCCATTGACTATAGGATAGCTAAGTAAATTTTGTAAAGCGAAATTCCTTGGCCCTCAGCCTTTATGGCAAATAGGTGAATTGAACAGGTGTACCAGCATATCGAGTAGAGGACATTCTTTTCACGACAGGTAACCAAGTATACCTCGAACAGCACCTGAATGAAAAGATTTAACTGTGACAAAAAACGGAAACCTTTGAAAACCACCACATAATGAAAGAGGACCTTGGTCAGCTTTGATAGACAATTTCTATACTCCAAACAATAAAGATTTTCTGTCATAATGTAGATTACTCATATAATGAAAATCCTTAAACTAACGCTTATAGTGATATTATTCACGCGTATGGGTGCGATTCTCTGAAAAAAAAATCTATGGAAAAAAAATCATGCTTTCCTAGAATTCTGTTAAAAATTAATTAATAAATATTTACTTCAGTTTTTCTATGGATATCAAATTGAGACAAAAAAAACGAATCAAAACGTTGCTTCGCAACACTTTTTATTCGTTTTTTGTCTCAATTTGATATATAGTCGGAAAAACTGTGAGAATAAAAAAAAATTTTATTTCAGTCACAATATTGTATTTCAAATAATAACTAAATTAAATATTTATTTGATAGCAGACAAGTAATCGGTTATTTAAATTAAATATTTTTTTCACTATACAATTTCCCATCAGAAAAGTAAAGAAAATTCAAAAAAAAGAACAAATAACAGAAATTAACTATAATAATATAATCAAGAATTTTTAACAAACATTCTTAAATAAACTATTTATAATAATTTTTGCAAAAGTTCTTTGAGAATTTTCAAATATAGTTAATTCTGCGATGAGCTTTATTATTTATGAAAATAATAATTGAATTCTTAAAACAAATTTATTATTTATAAAAATAATTGAATTCATAAAAAAAATTTATTATTTATCAAATTAATTGAATAATTATTGAGAATAAATTTATAAAATATTTGTTAATAATTGAATTCCTATGCAATTTTTATTATTTATGAAAATAATTTGCAAATGTTTAAGTAGAATTTTATTAAAATAGTAGATATTAAAAATCATTGAAATCAGGAAAATTTTTGAAAATAATTGAATTTCTTCAATCATTTGTAACTTATTCTTCAAAATTCAATTATTTAAAATGTTTTAAACTAAAATTTTTCTATAAATCAATTATTTTTAATAATTAATTAATTAAACATATACTGAAAAATTTAACTAATTTCAAGAAGAATTTGAATTTTTAACATTTTGCAAAAATTTTAAAAAACTTTTTTTTTTAAATTTCTAATTAAATTCATTAAAAATTTAAATTTTATAAAATTTCAAATTAAAGCCTTTTGAAGTCTATCTATTTATGAAAATTGTAAACTCAATTCTTTTAAAAGTCAATTAATATTGAAATATTTAAGTAAAATTATTCATTAAATAATTTCTAAGTAATAATTTTATGATAGTTTTTCAGGAATGAAGTTATTTAAAAAAAAAAATAATTATCAGAAATAGAAAAATTTGAAGGTTATGATTTCATAGCAAAAAAGACACCAAAATTTATAATTTTCTTATGAATTCTAAAAATTTTATTTTTTTCAGTATTTTTAATAAAAATGACTGACTTTTCCTTGAATCTCCTGTCTCAAAATATATATGATTATTGTGGTTAAAATAGTAAATCTATATTCTAATTCATATTTTTTATTTTTATGAACAAAAATTTTAATTAAAAATTTTTTAATTCTATTTTTTTTAAATTGCTGTTTGAGAGTGGATATTTAACAACACATAATTTCATTCAATATTTCAGTTATTTGACAATTTATTTGAATTTTCTTTAGTAATTTCCACTGAAGATTGTTAAATACCAAAATTTTTAATAATATAAATTTATTTTACTATTTTTCGAACCAAAACACAGTGAACAAGTTTTTTTTCCTTTTTGACAGAATCACCCATATGTATTTCTAAAAAAAAAAAAAAAAACTTTCTATATTTTATATTATTTCCGGTACACAAGCATATATAGTGAAAATAGTATGTTTATATGTATATATTACATTGAAGTCTGGAGGTGAATAAAAATTAAAATTTGTTGAACGTATATTTAAAGTTTGTCTCACGACATTTGACATTGGAGCGACCCGACCGCCCGGGGAAACCCTTAGGTTGTTTCCGGGAAGACTCCATGTCGGTGCATGCCCTATTGTGCACAGATTGGTCTGAGCCAGGTGTCTACTTGAGATATTCTCAACTCGCAACCGAAACATTCCTCATCTATATTAATAAAGTAAATGTCGATAACTGTGATTCCCAAATGTACATTTAAAAACACTTTTCTGTCATTATTACATCTCTTTATTAAAATAAATAATTATTGATGGTTTCAGTTACTGATTACTATTCTGATTTTTGAATTAAGTGAACTTAATTCAAACATCAGAATATTCCAGGAAGCAGTCTGATTATTCTAGCAAACAATTTTATAAAAAGAACCTAACTGTCGAAATTTATGTTAAAATTTATGAAGATTGAAGATTTTTACCTGTGAGGAACAAAAAAGAAGTCTTGTAAAAAAGTTAGAATTAAAAGTAATGAATTGAATTAATTAATTATATAAAACTAATAAACTTTCGACATTAGTGTAGAATCTGAGGAAAATTTGAATGCCTCGTGGATTGATATATCACAAGAGCCTAGAATCGAGCACCTGCTGTGCGCTCATTGCATATGACGAATATGGAGAGGAAATCCGTTTTTCAGGTCTCTCGCGTCTCACTCACTCTCTCGCCTCACAGACATCAGAAACTTTTCTCGTCGTCTGATTGGTTACTCTTTTACTTAGCATTTGTGAACGCGCCTGCGTATGACTTGTTAACGCATCGCGCAAGACGTATGTACAATTACCGCCCCAAATACCGCCCATATAAACGCGAATTCCGCATTGTACCATGTAATTTTTTCTCTTCCGCTGCGCCAATTTTATGGAATCATCCTAATTCGCCACGCAACACTCGATGCATTAAGCTCCAAATAAGTGAAACTTGAGCACCCCCTCAATTTTCATCAATTTAAATAAACATGCAGAGAATAAAAAAAAATTCATTCTTGCAGTTGGAAAATATTTTTCCCCGCGCATGTATTAGATGAACAATATTTATTATTCAAAAGTATCTGATTGTATATGAGAGAACAGACCGGTTTTACGTGCTGCATTAACTTAAATTTCAAAAGAAACTTGAAGTCATAATAGATCACTGATTGTAGAAATCAAGACCACTGTTTCAATCTCATATATTTTCAGTCTCGTATTCGAAAAACATTGTTTTGTATCTTATAAAATTATGTACGCACTCATTATGATAATTGATTATTAATAACATTATGACTAGCAGCTACACAGTAAAAATTCAACAAAGATTTATTAAACTCAGAACTTTTTTATTTGATTTAAGTAAATATATCTCTTGGTAAAAATGAAAATATCATTAATTAACATGAATAGAAGATGTGTCAAAATATATTCAGATTTACAGAATACACATTACTGGAAAAGAGGAAATTTTTATTTTTATTCAAAGACTATTGTTAAACATATAGAGCAAGAAATTCATTTGATCATAGAAATAAGTCAACTCTTTGTTATCACAGGCACAAATGCACAAGGCGACGTGGCGCCACGGCGCACGGGTTTGTTTGATTTATGAAACTTGCTTCATTGTCAGAAACTTCCCACTTATCTGAACGCTAAGTTTCAACAAAAAGTCCGACTAAAGCAAGTAGAATGGCTGCAAACCATGTCAAAGGGATATTTTAACAATTCATATTTCTTCATTTACATAGAATTTCTGTCTTTTTCTAGTACCACACGTGATAAATATTATTTTTTCAAAATATTTACCCCACTTTTTGCTCACTTTTTGTATTTTAGTTTCTAGTCTTCAGTTTTTGAAATTTATTTTAATTCATCTGCTTTTAGAGAATATAATCTAGAGGAACCTAATGAGTAATGACAAATTAGATAATAAAAAGTTAAAGTTTCTTTCTTTGTTTATAACAATAGCGATAAATCGCTTCCGCTTTCTTTCAAAAGTTGTTTTTGGA